ACAGCAAGTTTTTCTTTTTCAACTCTACTAATGTCTCTGTTCTTGGACTTTTAGTAAATAACCTGCATTTCTAAATCACTCATTTGTTCCCTTGGTTTCCAAAGTCAACTCATGCACACAAACCTCAATGGCACCTGTATTGCAGGAATAATGTAAACTGAAGGTAGTCCAAATGTTTTTGAAGCACTGTGTCTTCTAGGTTTAGAAGCTTCCAATTAACTATCTGCATTACCACCTCCACCTTCCCATAAGCTGCTCCAGCAAGTTTGCTCTTGCAAACTTAGCGCATGTGGAAGTAACATTCCTTGGACATATTCAGGACCACATATATTGCTTGTTTCACAAAGCAGTTTAGGTGGTTGCTGGCTACCCTACAAATGCTGTAATTCATATACAGTGGTTGCTGGGCCCCTGAAATATACGTTTTTCCCATTTTCATGGGAAAGGTATGATATGTGGAAAAAGCTTCTCTCTAGCCTTTGCCAAGGTTATGGTGAATACCTAAGCTTTGCTGCAGCAGGCTGCCACCTTATAAAAGTTTATTTAGCAGCTGCTTAAATATGTGCTTCTATTGCTAGTAAGTCAGAAGGAACTTAGTTCAAATGCTTTATAGTATCAGAACATTAACAAAGTTCTTCTCAGTGTGGGGTTTCTTGGTCTTTGTCTTGGAAATCCACAGGTCAAATCTTCACTTTATTTATTTTAGATCCAGAGTCATAAATCTTTATGGAATTATTCTAATAATGTAAATGTAAATGACAAAGGATCCCATGTGAAATGGTTAATCTTCAAAAAGTGAGAAAGTATTCCATTCTGAAATCATATGCAGAAAAATGCTTAGGTATAAAAAATAGTGTTTGCATTGTCAGCATCCTCTCCAGATATTATAGCAATGACGATAACAAAAGTATTCAATTTGTCCTACTGTTCTTAGAAAAACTAGACCCTCTAGTCTCAGGAAAAGCAGAAAACCCTATCCCCTGTTCACAAAGTGCCAGTGCTTGACTTGAAGATCCTATCACGTTCCCAGTAAAGTACAACAGAACTGTTGCTATTCTTTCGATAGAAAAGTTAGGAACCTGACCTGCATATAACAGATTTTGTTCAGAGGTCTTCCCAGTAATTGAACTCGGTTTTGCATGGGCCTTATGCATGCCTTTGTACAGCTAGTCAGACAGCTAGTAGATCGGTCAAAAGAGGTGTTTATGCCTTTGAAAGTGACCCTGCAGGCTGCGCATTTTGGAATACATATTTCACCTTTGGACCTACCTGCCCTTACCAGGTCCAAGGTTGTTACAGTATCCACAGAGGAAATTGTGAAGAGACAACAAAACACCATGTTTTGGGACACAGCCAGTTGTCCATGAAATGCTGCTTCTCTGACAGCTTGATATCTTCTTCTGCACCCAGAGGATCGTTCCAGTAATATTGTTCCAAATGACTGGAATCCTGTGTCCAAGAGTGAAGACAGATGAGAGCAGCATACAATGGGGCCTCTGTATGCTTTATACATAGTAATGTGGCAACAAAAAGGTGTTGAGATAAACAGAAGTATGATGTGCTGGGGTTCTGCTGGGTCAAATCCATTGAGTTGTAGAATTCCATGGAAGGGATGGCAACCAACATTTTAGCCCCCAGGCCAAAGCAGGCAGCTGCAGAGAGTTAAGAGAAAGGATTGCTTCTGAATCTCAGAAGCTGGAAATTGATCAGTAATTAATTTTAAAAATCAGTATTGCATTCAGCTGTGGTGTAGCAAGGAAGCTGGCAGGACTCAGCGAGCATATTGGAGGGTTTTGTTTTTAAGACCTGATTCAAAAGATGGAAAGAGGAACTCGGAGTAAGTTTAGGGGATTTTGATTAGGAAGGATGACTGGAAAAAGAGAGAGAGGTAGGGGCAGTAGAAAGGACTGAGATTGCAACAAAAAGGAAGAAGAATCAGTGAATTTGGGGGCTTTGGGGTATCTTTCAACACACTCATTAGCCATCATTCCCACAGATGACAGGATACAGAAGTTCCTCAGCTTCCCCACTTCCCAGTAGCCTCTCCTCCGTCTGTAGTCCACTCCTAATCCTCCTTAGGACATAGAGCCCTCTTCTTCCTTGCAACTTCCTTCTTAATCCCATGCAATGGCTGCCTTCTCTCATCCTCCCCACAAAAAGCATCCAATTCTCTATGGACAGATTAGGAAAGGGATGGGCAGAAATAAAAGAGCAAGTAGTTTTTCCTGGGGTTGGTGGCTCCTTGCATAGCTGCCCAAAACCAATACCTTCCAACTTCCGCCACAGCAAATTTGATCCCAGAGATCTTGCAAAACAGGCAGCAAGGTCACACACAGCTGTTTATTTTGGCTGTGTGTAGAAGTTAAACTTGCCCATTGCCACTAAAAGTGGTGAGAAAAGCTTCTGATTTCAGCTGATTTCGCTGGGTAAAACCCAGATGATTAGAGATGTCAGCATTTTCCCTGGGTGTGTGCAGGAAGGTCAATAAAGCCTTTATTACCATCACTACTCTACAGAGTTCTTTGGATGCTGGTGGTATTTGAATAGCAGTTTTAAGATACCTCCATCAGCTGCTAGAACAATATAACAATATATTGTTATATGTTTTTCTTTACTGCGCACTGCAGAATACCATTTTGTCACAATTTGTTCTTCCTCTTGTGTAGCAAGAGTTAAGGATGTTATTGACTGAACCAGTTGTGAAGCATTATGGTATTTGAACAATTTCTTTCTGCATGTGTGTTCTCTGCAAAATTAGGTGTAGAAAATGGCTGGAGGCAAAGCCAGTTGAAACTCTATAGTGTATTAACTCTGACATTTAAATCTATTAAGGGTGTGAACCATATATAATGATTTCCTCATAGGAAATCATGGACTGAGGCTTTTTACCTGTTGACTAAGGGACAACTGCCTTTTTCTTTTTTTTTCCAGAAAACAGTAGAGGATTGATCGGCATGGAAGGATTCAGTCCAGGAAGCACTGAATGTCATCTGCTGTCATAGGCTTGTTTATGCTAGGAAGGTGTAGCAAATTAATAAAGATGCCAACTGACAATTATATTAAGTGTAAATCTGCCCTTACTATGGGCAAGGCCAGAACTGTGTTAACTGTTTTTTCTGAGATAATCACCAGTAGCCATTATGTTTTAAAACATGGTATTTAGTCGATTAAACATTTAATGTTTTCTAACCTGAAGAATTCAAAGGGACAAAGGGATAGCCAAAGGAGCAATTTTAAATATAATCAGGGAACCCTAAAAAAGTATTCTGCTGGAGGTCACCAGTGGATTGCCTTGAATCTGTGTCTTCCTCCCCGCTTTCGCTTTTCAGTCTCCTCTAGCCTTCTTTGAGACCTCAGGATGGGAAGATTGTGTTTGGAAATTTTCTGTCAGGATAACATTCCTACTAGACAGATAGGTCTGCACCATAAAATAGACTTTAAGATTTGTCAGAACAAACTCTGGAATTAGTCCAATTCCATGTGTAAAACGTAATTACAAGCTAAAAATAGGCAGAATAGTCACGTCTTTCATAATGTCCTGATTTTATACAAACCCTAAATGACTAAATACTACTCCAAATTCTGATTTATGGGAAATCACAGGTATAGTTGTAAGGATGAAAATCATGCATTTCATACCAGCTATAACCGTGGATAAACCCTGGATAAAACACACCACTTAAGTCAGGAGTTCTGACTTAAGTGTCTGTGAAATCTGTATATTCCCAGATTGCACTTCTAAATTTTGATGGCCTTACATATTATCTGTAAAAACATTTGGACAACCTCATGCTAAAAAAAGGAAGGAAAGAACCTGATTCCTTATGCATGTGTTTTAGAGAGAAAGCAAGCTGAAGGAGTAGTAACTTTGTGAATGATCATTCTGATGACAGAAATAGACTCCTGTTGACTTTAATCAGTTTTGGATTAAGTCCTGGGCTACTGTAACTTGTTATTGATTAATGACAAGGAGTTGGGGATTTTCCATTATCTGTAGTCTACTTTTTGATAACAAAAGGCTGTGTAAACAAGAGTGAAATCTATGCTTTGAACTATATTTCTCAATAATTCTTAAATCATTGACCATTCAAAAAGGAAAAGGAAATATTTTTACAACTGTAAAGGATATTTCAGGAAATAATGAAAGCTTCCATACATCTCCCAGTTTCAAGTGGGTTGGTAATAACTAGAGGACAATAGAAAAATCCTTAAATCTCCTGTGGCAAAAAGCTAGCCAACAAAGCACAGACTTGAGAAGAAGGCTAGAATTGGGTTGTACGCAAAAAGCAACGTAACTGATACTGGTTTTCTTTGGTCATGAATGCTTATCTGAAGTCCAGCTTGTGTGATTTTTTTTTGGCAAAAACTAGAGCTAAACTCCATTTTAGTTACTCGAGTGGTCTGAATTCGATATGTATATTCTCATATTCACAATAACATCCAGGCACACATCATATGAATAGGTTTCACTCTGGATTTACAAAGTCTCATATATGTGTCTGGGCTCTGCTTTCTAAACATCCAGTGTCTATTGTATTATCATGTCTGTGTGAATTATAGTCTGAGTATAGTGTGTGCGTGAGTAAGCAGTACATGAAATATGCATTATAAGCGATTTTCTTGTTTCTTACAGGATTACACCTCAACCATCATTAGAGAAGGTGATAAGGGCTATACGTGTCATCTGAGATTCTAAGACAATGTAAAGGAAATTTAACTCAGTCATTAAATCTGCTGTTGTGCAGGTATGTTTGCAATTATCCATAAATATTCTCCAAAACATATTTCATATATATGGTTTAGCACATTTGAAATTGCATCCAGTTATCTCACTTACTCAGATTGTTATAAATACAGTTTCGTGCTTTGGGGTTTTTTTTTTCAATTTTTTCTCCAAAGTGTCTCTAGGAGTTTTTTTTAATTCTTTTTAGAGTGCAGTATTATAAAAACAGATATTTAATCTGTTTGACCCTTTCTCACTTTTCAGTTCCTTACCATGAAAAATTCAATTTCAATATGAACATTGTCCAAGAGAGGTCTGAAATGTGAGCCTACAGCTGTTAATTATAAATTGAACTCCAGCAACTTCAGCCTGTAGAAGTGCTTTGTAGATAAAATGCATTAATAGCATTACAATGTGAAACGCCCAGGACAGATACTCTTTGTTGAGTTTTCTTTCCAGAATAATATTCTGCTGGTGAGTATAACAAAAGCAAGATCATCAGCAATGGAAACAGGACAGAAATACAATTACATTTGCTTTATCAATAGCAGGAAATGGCAAATCTGCTGAGTCTATCTTTTTTTTCTGTTCAATATATGCTTGTCCAACAAATTTTGCTGTCCATATCATTTTTAACTTTCTGTACACACACTTTCTCCTTGCTATATCTTGTATTTTCATTTGCACTATTCTGATGCCCAGGCTATGCTATCACACACTATGGAGTGGCTTAGAAGGGAAGAGAGGGTTTATCCCTCCAGGAAATCCACTTCTGATATGTGAGTTGATGAGCTCTTCGTTGGTTTCATCATGAATAGTAGAAGTGTATTTATAGTAAACTCATTCTTGTCATTAATGAAACACCTTCATACTTCACAAATCTTATGATCCTTATTCATACTGTATTTTTCTCTAGCATATGTTATCCTATATCTGTAAAACAGTTTCTGCATGAGGAGACAATGTGTCTCTTGAAAAGACTGATAACCTATACACAGTTGGGATCCTAATATTTTCCTCACACTTAGTGGAAGTGGAACAGAAAGTCTGTGATTTGCCAGAAGTCATGAAGAAAACCTTGCAAGAAAGCCACAAACCAAGACTGGATTTCTTATCTCCGTGCCTTAACCACAATTCCAGTCATCCCCGCTTGCTTAAGCCATGACAACTGCACTATAAATCTAGTTTGTAAGTTATGAAGCCAGTCAGTGATAATCATCTGGACAGCATAAACATAGTAACACCACAAATATGTTAGGCAATAAAGTCTTACACACTCTAGAAGTTCAGCTACAGTGTCGTCAGTGATACACAAACAAATACAGCACAGAACTTGAACTCCTTGAAAAGCAGTATTTCCTGTGCCATTTATTGTGTGGGTAGGAGCTTTAAACTAGTACTGGCCTCCGTTTTCCCAATGTTCCCAAGTAATATAGGGATAAAGGTTAAAGGCAGCCCGTTGCTTCAGTGCCTTTTTGCTACATATAATTACAGGTGCAAAGACGAGGAAAAGCAGGACAGGGGTGTGAATATTTGAAACTTTCTGTTCTTTTTTGTTTCAGTAAGAGGGATAGATAGATATGGATAATATCTAAGCTTTGTGGTCTTGGATGAATAATGAATTAGAGCTATAAGTAACAAATGAAAGTTGGTCACTTCCTCCTGTGTGTGGAGTTCCAGAAAAGGCAGGTGAGCCTGATAATTTATTAATATGTAATCCATGTACTTGTAAAATGTACTTACTGGGAGAAGTGAGGATAAGGATGTATATTACTCCGAACATACGAAGAATGGTAGTAGTGGTATCGAGAAAACCAGAGACTGGGAGAATATTTTGAAGCAAAACTCCATATATTGTAAGCAAATAGGGCACTGTACATTTGGGTTTAGAGCAGATGAACCTGATCAATGTTAATCACTAATTTTTCCTTTTCACCCTGTTCAGCACTTTGTCATGCATAGTATTGCATGTCTCAGAACTGAACATGACAAAATTAATGCAGTGAGATATACAAGTTTTTCACGTATTTCCTGCTCAATACCTAATTGTAAGAGGTATAAGACTTACTACTATATGCAAACAGATATTGGTAAAATTCCCAGTAATTTCAGTGGGTACAAATAGAAACTTCTAAAAGAGAGAATTTAACTGAGATCCTACCAGGTTCCCATCTACCTTTCCGGATACTATTCTTGCTACAAACTAAGTAGTTCTGGTTTTTCTCATTTGTGATAATGAGTAGAACATATCCAGCAGATTTGGTCTCCAGGTGGGGAACTGTCAAGCTATTTCAATGCCACATCAACTGACACAGATGTGATTTTCATGGAGAAGGGGTGGAAAATGATTGAGGTATGGGTGGGTCACCTCTAATTTTGTTTCAGATAGCTTTACATGACTGTCTGAATGATTTTTCAAATGAGATTTAATGTTTCCCACACATTGCAAACCATCATAGTAAATTATGTATCAGATCGAGAAGTAAGAAGAGGAGTAGGAACCTAATGAGAAAGCATGGCTATACTACAGTAAATGCTCAAAAAACAATGTTAAAAAACTGCTAAAGTGAGGCACTTCAAGGGAGAAAATAGCAGATTTAAACTTCCCTGTGCAGTCCTCCTTCAGTCTTTCCCTGTGCAATGCTCCTTCAGTCTGTATGTACATATCCATTACAACTTGTTCTCTAACTATATAACTTCACTGCATATTTTTCACTTGACTGATGTCTTATTCAATATTCATTTTTCTTTCTTTTTTCTTTCTTTTTTTAGCTCTTTTTACTGCTGTGTGTGGCCACAAGTATTATTTACTTTCCACTTGTCAAATCCCGCAGACAGAATTATTCATTGTTTTGGCACACAGATGATACTAGATGAATGTTTCACAAACATCAGTTAGCTCATTTTCACAGCAATCCTTTAAGCTGAGAGAATATTATTATCACTGTCATTCAGAAGCAGAAAGGAGGCACAGAAGACAAAGGTCGAAGTGTCTATTGATTTTAGATACCTAATATAAGACAACTAGGATTCTGTAATATTTAGCATCAAGCAGCCACCTAGCCAGAATGCTTTTAATATTATCTTCAAGTACAGCTCTGACACGAACTGCTGCAGTGTCACTTATTCAGCTCATGCCTCTTGTAGCTGAGTAAAGAGGGGGCTAATGGAGCCTGGCAGTTCTTCCAGCCTTTCTCTGCACATCTGGAGGTAATACCTGCATGGGCCTCTGCTTTCTTTCAGTAAAAGATGGAAACAAGACATTACCAGAGAGACTGTCTTGGTGTGAGAAGGTGGCTGGGCTCCTTGCCTCCTTATGTCAGCTTTTCCCTTTTTTTTCTTTTGTATTGAAGTACATCTCACTTAATCTTAGCACCTAAAAATTTGGTCTCTATGCTAGTACTAAGCCTTTTGTAGAGCTAAAGATAAGGGCAGGTCCAGGGATTTATGTGTCACCCATGTTAGCAAGGGATGGACTGTTCTTGGGTGATTCCTACCTCACTGTTCCATTTTGCAAAACCCATATTTTACCGTAGGAACGCACGCTGCAGGAAGTCAGACTGTTTTACTATATATAAGAATATATAAATAAACAAGATTTATGGAGAACAGTTGGGACATACAGGTTAATTTGTAACAGGAAAAGAATAATGGTTGAAACTAAACAGGTCTGAGAGGTGTCTACCAAAAATTATGGTGGATTTGCACCCTCTTTAGTTCTAACACACTGTTTGCAAGAGTATATCCCATCATCATTGTGTAAGGTACTAAAGTCACATTCCAGCAAGAACAGCACAGAGAGATTATGTGCCAGCAGCTGTCCCCGGCTTTCCACCAGCCTTGAAAAGTGTGTTTTATCTTCATTACCTCAAACATCGATATCTTCAGTGAATATTACTTATGCCTTCAGTCTAGCCCCAGTCTTGCAAGAATTTCTTCAGCAATACTCCTCAGCACATGACCCGTATATGCCCTTTTTATCTGATAACATAAAGGATGAATCTAGTCATTCTGCAAATGCACATAATTCACACCACGTTACTTTGTACAAAAGGCAGAGCTAACAAGTACCAGTCTTCTCGGGCAGCCAGTTTTGAGGCAGAAAGCCATCCCTTAATGACCTCACTCAAACAGGGGAGATGTGGACATTAAGAGTAACAAGATCTTGCAGAGAGGAATAACTGCACTATCTTCACTTTGGAAACCGCTAATGTCTTCTGCGTGTCCAAGTGAGATTGAGTTTTGCAAGTGGTTGTGCATCTAATGTATAATTTATGTGTAGCATCGTTTGTAACCATGTTACCTAGGTCTTCAGATCCTTGTTTCACACTAGGGATCAGCACAGGATATGAATTGAAAAAATAAAGCTGGACATGTTCAATCAGGAAAAGAAATTATTATCAGTGTGAAAAATAACTTCCAATACTTTAAAGATATCCAACAGCTGCTAAGAAGATTTTTATTTTAGCTAATTAGAGTGTAGAACAGCAACAGAATAAGTAAAAGTATTTCTCAGGCTTGCAAAGTAGTTTGGTGTCTTTGCTATAGCATTATCAGGACAAACCCCTGTCTGATTTCTGGGCACGAGTAAAATAAGAAAAACATGAAAATGAATTTGATATTTTAAAATAGCAGAGTCTCCTTGCATAATTTAAGTACCTATCCCCAGAGGATGCTGCGCAGGCTTACAGGATTGCTGGTCATTTACAGGTTGGTTCTGAACATCCCATTGCTATACAATCTTTGCATATTATCCCTCCCAGAATTGCAGTCCGTGGAGGAGCTCATTATTGCTGTTTGCTCACTGATTACTGCTGCTCTTTATTGATTCAAGTGCCCAGGAAGCATGAAGTGTGGTTGGGCAATGGAAGGCACCACTTCTTGTTGCTGTGCAGAAAGCAAACTGCTGTCCAAGAAATTACACGGATACAGGTGTGTGAACAAGGAACAAACAATATCAAAGTGGAGGTACTCTTCCTCCCAGGGAGGAACCAGAAAGCCTCATTTAGGTCAAATGTGCTTAGCCCTAAAGTGTTATGCAAAATAACACTTTATGAAAATGCAAAACCATTAAAAAAAAGAGAGAGAGAGAGAGAAATTTAACACTGCTCCAATGGAAAAAAATGCCATAGGCTGTAAACCACTAGCATGTGATTTAATAGTCTCTCATTGTTCCTAATCCTGTTATTGTTTTCCTCCTTGTTTGTTTCCACAGCAAAATTCCAGAAAATGAATAGCAGTAGAGCCTGTGTGCAACTATCCAGGGGTTCTTTCTCTCACAGCTTGTTGCTAGAATAGGGTTGAATCTTGCAATCTCTGCCTTTTTTATATCCCCACTGAATTCTATGGGAATAGCAGTGTGAGGAGGGAGTTGGTGAACTCGATGGGCAATCACTTGTTATTCAGTATCCAGTTGCCTTTGACCCAGTGTATTGTGCTGAGTGAGCGCTTGCTTGTGCACTAGTAATCAAATTTCCTGTTTCAGAACATTCCTCTGATCCATTATGTCTTTCATCCTCATCCTCTGCATCTAACTTCTTCCTTTCACTAGTCACTGTCCATATAATTGCATACATTTTGAACTCTAACTCTACTCTAACTCATTTGACTGGATGTCAAAGGGTATAGTAAACTCATATGTTAGAGGATGTGGTAAACGGCTGAGTGAGATTTTCCCAGTATTTTTGATTTTTGATATGATAACTTTTCTAAGCAGAGACAAAATTTCTCTTTTATTTCTTTTTTTCTCTGCAGTCTTTGTAGCATGGTTTGACGTTGATGGGATCTCTGCACATATGCAAGTGTAAAAAGCAGGCCAGAAAATGTATTTTCAAAATTTTCAAACATTAAAATGCTTGAACAGAAGCTTGAAGTAGAAGTAACAGTTCTAAGTTTCAGACATAACACTTCTTCAAAGTGTTAACTACTCTTGACTCATGTCTGTGGGACAATAGATCTGTTCAAGTTTTGTAAATTAAGATGCATAGAAAGCTCAATCTCTGATATTAAAGAGAACTCTGGTCCAGGGAAAGATCATGCTGTTTCAGAACTAATATGAATGATAATTTTAAAATCAAGAATTTAAATTCGGCACTGATATGTGCAACTCCAGTGGAGAATAAAAGATTTATGTGGTTCATGTATGTCAAAATTTATTTCTCTGATTTAACTAAAAACTCCATCTACAAAAAAGGGATTTACAGCATCTGAGATTTTACAATCCCTGCAACCTTCTGACATTACCAGTCTGTAAATTAATCAAATAGTATGAGAAAACTGTTCTCCCTGCAACACTGAAATAAATAACAATTCCTGTATGCTATTCCAGAGAAGAATTTTTCACTAACTGTAGCAAACACCTTCTGTAAATCTTTCACAAATTGCAGTAGTTACTATTTGAGGACTTTCTGCATGAGCTACTTTCACCCTGAGATCAGTAGCTGGTCGCCATCCAGACCAACATGTGAGCTCCCAGCCCGAACGAGTTCTGAGCTCAGCGATCAGGGACTCTCTGCTTGACCCTCGGGAACTTAGCAATCTTGGTGGCACATGATGGTGGATGACCCATCTAATGACATTCTGGGAAATTTTCATGGCTTCATGGTGCTAAAGAAGAATATCAGGGGACTGGTTCCAGTTTTGCCTACAGGACCCAGGCAAAGGGATGCAGGCTGATTTAAAACAGGACCTTAATTTAGCCTGAAAAAGCATCCATTGCCAAAGTCACATTAACTAAAACAAGTTATCCTTTTACTAAGGTCCATCCAGCTGATATCTCAATGTCAGATAATGCTCAGAAAACATTTCCCATAGTTCTAAAAATTCCCAGATGAATGGGAATTTGTCTTCTATGAAGTAACTAATCAGTCTTAGATCTAGCACTCATATCATAATACAGTATTTTTACTGTAGCTGATCAATGAAGTGTGGTCAGGTACACCTTTAGTCCTTTCTAACCCTTCATTACAATGAAAATTTTTCAATCAAAGAATCAAAATCCAGTTAGCAAGTTTAATTATTTTCTTCCAAGTAAATATTTTGACAGACATATTCAGAGCTTCACTACAGCATGCTAATTCATTTTGCTCTAGCTATTTACTTCCTCAATCTGATTCTCAGGTGAAATGTCATTAAAAAGGAGATCAGCTTTCCTTTGTGCTTATATTAGACTGGTATGTTCTGTGTGTAATTTAGGTCCTAAATTTTTCAGTTCTTACACCTAGAAACCTTAGGAACTGCAGACATGTTCCTTCCATGGGTGAGATTTTCAGTATTTCTATCATTTTTAACAGCATTTACCACCAAAGCATGCAAATTTAAGAATCTTTTCCTTGAAATTGGAGCTTTGCAACCAAGTGAAGCAAGTGAGCACTTGCTATGAAACTTTAACAGGTCAAAACAAATAAATTAATAAATAACAGTTTTCTGGTACTTAACTGACTTGAGTTATTCCTATCAACAACTCAAGGAAAGACTTCACTGAGGGAGAGGAGAAGGAAATCTAAAGATTAGCGTTCTTCTTGGAACACTGGTCAATTTTTAACTGGTGAAAAATAAGTCTGTTTATACATCAAGAGTGCATTAGATCCTACCTAGTGGCAAAACAGAACTTTCAAGCCCTTAGGCACATTATTCTCTTTAAATTGTTCATTTCCTCTCTGCTGTTCATTGGCCTGCAAGAAGTAAAGAGATTACTATCACTCAATAAAATCATATAGTTTGCTTTTTATAGCACTTCATCAAGCATTTGTGAGGTATAGATACATTTGTTTGTAACAAGAATAAAAATATTAGAAAAGAAACCACATGAATTACAAAGAAAGTATTTATAAAGATTTGGATGATAACATTTCAAAATTATTTTTAAATTAGAATAATAACTTGAGTAAACTTGATTTTACTGTTACGAGTGATCATCAGTGCCCTGAAGAGTTTTTCCAAGCAATCGGGCAAACCTAGACTTTTCTGGATTGTGAAGGACATGACCCACAAGGAGAAGCCTTCCTTCAGTAAACCTGGTGGTGTGACAAAAGAGCCCTTATAACCTGCAAAATGTTTTATAACAGGGAATGAAATCATGCTGCAGAAAGAGTTATGTTGTGTTTCATTGCCCAACATAAACACTGTGTGACTAGAAACATTAACTAAAAAAAAAAGCTCAATAAAATACCTAGTACCTTCTGATTAGACACTCACAGTAGTTGTGATTATATGTTTAAATACTTCAGAGCTTACATATATCTAGATCTAACAGCCCACATAAAAGTTCACTTTATAGCTCTAAGAAATAGTGTACTCAAAGTGATACTGGTAGGAGACAATAATTTCATGACTCTATAGAAATATGTTAAATACTGTACAGAAAATAGCTCTAAATTTTTTACCATCTGGTTTCCAAATGTGTCAACTCAAGTCCCATTCCCACCTACATTTTATTTTGCTGGGTATCTTTTCAGTATAACTAAAAAATCTACAATTCTCTAGTGGGCATATCACAGTCAGCACTCTTACAACTCACTAAATCTTACCCTTCCTTATGTTTCTACGGTATTCCCAAGTTTGAAGGGACTGAAACTCATCTCTTTTGAATGTCAGGTAAGTCATACGTGGTATAGTTCAGTGGTCTTGGTAAGATTGATTGCAATTTTCTGCCTAAATTTGCTTGGGCAATTATGTGGCTGTCATTTGAATTTAGTCTGTTGGCTTCAGCTGGAAGGGTTCTTGTTTGCTTAGTCCTTAATCTCTTTTTTGCCATTTTTTTCCCCTTACTGAGTTTCAGTGATAGCCGAAATAGCTATTCCTTGAGAAATCTAGCATGCACACAACTGCAACAGTGCAAGCTATTATTTTAATAAAATTCTGTCAAGCAGGATATCTGTATTTCTTTAAGCTATAAATCAAAAGCTTGCTGTTCTCATGAGAGTCCATGTACCTTAGAATTTTGCTTTAGTCATGGCTTTAAAAACATTTCTGCGTTTTCTATGATTTCAACATGAATCAAATGTGTATTTCCCCAAAAATTTACTAAGGAAGAAGCTAACGCTTACTTGAAAACAGGTTTTTTTTTTTTGAGTTGGTTTGGGGCTGTATTTTTTTTACTTCAATTTGTCTTTCCATGCAAGTATTATATAGACATGTAATGTTATCTGTTATTAGATGTGTAATGGTATCTGGTATTAACACACAGCAGACAGCTTTTGAATTAAATTATATTAGCTATTTTTCTGATTCACCACAAGATGTCGGTGTGACACATTTCTATTAGCAGCGTGTAACTCACACACAACTTCCTGTAAATTGCCAATGGATCAAAAGATTTTATTTCAAAGATATTCAGAAAGATATTGAGACCACAAATGTGTTGTGCCATCAGCAAGAGAAGGCAAAGACTGACAGTCTAACTCTAATTAACTGTCTCACTTCAAACCAATTTTGCAAAGACCGGTTTTGCAATCTTTCTCAAATCCTTCAGTAATTTCATGTTTTTCTGCACCAAGGAACATGTCAAGAGGCAATCACTACGGAATCTCTGTCTTTCCTGCTTGGGAAAGAAAACAAGAGAAAATTAAGGTATAGAGCTATCAACTAAGGACATTTGATGCTAGTCCCATTTTAACGAATCAAATTCTGCATGAGCTTGGTAACTTCAATTTTTTTGCCTCAGGTTTGTGCACCTGTTGTTTATATGTGCATTATTGTATTAAACTTTAAAACAAATTATGTTTTTATATATAATCTTAATAACTGATATAAATATTTTATGTATGTTATTACTATTATCTACATATTATATATAATGTTATTATTTCTACATAATGTCATCAAACTCCTATTAAAGAAACCAATAACAATAGAAAATGGAGTCCAGTAGGCCACAGAGCAGTCACAGGCCCGAGTAGGGATCAGCTTTGACATCCTCTTTTCTTATCGTGGCCCAGTGAGAACCAGATTATTCCAGTCTAACAGCAGGAGGGAATGAGGGACTCCTTCCTCCTCCATTTCCATAAAAGCCTGAGTTTTGGTTAGTCAAATCTTTTCTTGGAAGTGTTTGGGCCCTGCAGAAGAGAGGGACTGGCTCTCTTCCACTCCCACTGGCTGATTCAGGCAGTTTCCGCCTGGGTTTTTGGACACCACCTCTTTGGCTGTATGGCTGGCACTTCCACCCCAGCACGGGGCAGGAAGCTGTGCCAAAAAGGAGCCCTTGTTGCAGCTAGGACATGGCTCAGCAGTGTTGCCCAACATCCCTCAGGCCTCCTTCACTTACTCTTGGGGGGAATTTGGAGTCTCACAGGTGCATGGTTCTTTGAACCAGAGCTTAATCACTCCGTGTAGAGCAAATTTAGCTATGCAGTAACATTAACAGACCCATGTGCAATACCAGCCTCACACACCAGAGAGCGAAATGTCCTTTGTGAGTTGTGTGTTTAAGGCTTAATATGACGTCAGTAATCAATCTTTTTACTACATTGTGTGACTGAAGTTAGCTAAGCTTCAGTCAAACTAAGATTATCCACTACACACATATAAGCATCAAACTAAGTTCCTCAGTACTGCAGCCCCAGGTGCATATTTAAATTTGATAGCCTGAAAATATTTTCTAAATTGCTGAGATGTGTACATTTCAAGTGTATTTTGTTATTCCAGTTGATATATTGTCCTGTTGGCCACAAAGATAAAAAAGATTAAATTAATTTCTTAACCTTTAGGTGAAAAACAGAGGCTAAAGTAGCCTGAGACCAAGATGAGGGTGCAGAAAGGAGCCCCTTTGCTCTGCTGAAGCTGCAAGACTACATTATCAGAATTTTTCATATTCCTTGTACTGTAGCATAGAAAGGGATCCTAATAACAGAGTCTTGTATAAGACATGAATTTAAAGGGAATCCAAAACATCTTTCATGCTAGGTAGACCAGATACACAGTACCAAGTGTGCCTATCAGAGACATTTGAAAGACATTGTCACAATGGGCTCTGCTGTCACTGTTTCTCTTCACATTTAAAGTGTATGTGTGAACCTCACATAGATAACTTTACCTTTTTCTAAGAAGATGGGAATGGTTAAATAATAAAAAAGAGAGAATGCAATATTACTGCACAGTTCATTCATTAATAAAGTGCAAAGCTGCAGTAAAATAAGTCAGACTATCTTCAGAAACCTCAATAGGGACAGCAATAACTTTAACAATTTCTAAAAACCTATTTGTTCTGTCTGGTGAAGAACAACCAACCAAGCATATTGCTTCAGTTCAGGGTTAAAGTTTCCCCATCAAGTGAATCATTGGCTTGGAAAGCAAAAAAACAGCTGCTGAACAGATAATGGGCAATGTTCCAGGTTATCTTTGTCACTATTTTAGCAAACCGTAAATTCAGAACTTATTAAAATTCAGAACATTTTAAAAGTATTTCTGCTTGACAGTTGGACAAGAACAGAGTAGTTAAGTGAAGTAGCATACTCTCTCCTTTCCCACAATATCCCATTAATCAAGCAACCATCAAGGCCTTGAAGGTAACTTGAATCTTTGATCTCCTTTGGTAACTTCCTTGCCTTGCAAAGACACCTAATGTGCCTAAACTAAAACAGCAACCTTCAAACCTTAATTATAGATACATCCAGTAACCCTGTCCTGTTACCCAATCAATACAAAAGTTTATTTCTGAAGGTAACTATTGAAAGTTGACTGCCTGTTTCTTCATGAGGCTGCAGTCCATTAGCAACCAAAGCCAACAGGCTTGCCATTTTCATTATAACGGAAGATGCAAAGACAAGAAGAGGGAGAAAACTGTGATAAGAAAAAGACCAAAAAAAAAAAAGTATTTTTTGATTATTTCCAGCATTAGTGCAATTAAAGGGAAAAATCAATTTCTCTGTCAGTTGCCATGGTGAGTTTTGCTTTCCATTCCTAAGCCCTGCTAGAGGAATTTTCTAGCAACCATATTAAAATTTGGATTTTCCCATATCAACTACATTTTTCTCTTTGGTCTTGTTAACCAAACCCAGGCCGTGCAATATCTGCCCTCAGACCACAGGGTAGCAAGGAGATTGTGACTCCACTGAGAGCCTTTGAGGACATCACTCATGTTCCCCAAACACACAAGATAGATCGGATCACAGATTCAAGCTGTTAGGGCAGGAAGAGGAAGACTGGAACAGTGGGATAACACTAGAGATTTGGAGGTTTCTTAATATCCTTCTGAGGAAAAATAGCTGTGCCCTCTCTTGGGAGCTATAAAAAAGAAGCTTTTGCTTGTTGGTCATGGAGACTGCAGATCAGCTGTCCAGCCACTGCTCTACAACAGGACCCTTATGTTTCCCTCCTCCCTTCCCCATATTTCACCTGTGTCACTGTGCAATTCATAACTTCACAGTTCTCCTCACCCGAAATTCACTGGGTTTATACTGTCAAGATAATTAAATTCCTTCCCTTGGTAATTTTTGTATTATGTTTAGAAGAAATATAGTTTATAGCTGTTACTGTTCATCCCTTGGAAAAATAATATCATTAAACTTCCTTTTAAGTTTCACAATATTTGTCTATGAATTATTCATAGCAACAAGCAGCACAATATTGCAAGACTACTTAGAGGTGCATGAAAATAATACTTCATTTACGGTGGAAATTCACACATGTGAAAACTGCTGAGGCAACTGCAGGCGCGGGCACTATAAATAGAGCTCTATTGTCAGTGGCAGAAGACGAAAGGAGCCCCGTGTCACCAGAGCACGTCCTGACGAGGGCTGTGCTCACCCGGGACTAAAAGCGAACGGCTGCACCGCGGGATAGACTGCTCTGCCGGCGAGGCGTGTGACTGCAGAGAGTTTGGGCTGACTCCACGGCTTCCCCGGTGCGACACGAAGGCGGTGGCTGCCTATCTGCCTGCCTCAGCAATGGAAGAAACGGTTATAAGGCATTGGGTGGAAACGCCGGTGCGCTACCAGGAGGAGTTTGCAGCCCGGGAGGCAGAGGCGCTCAAGCTGGATCACGCTCTGTACGCCCTGCCGGGCCCTGCCACAGCAAGTGGCCAGCGTCGCGTCGCGGACGGCGTGGCCGGGAGCGGGGACAGCGCCCGTGAGGAGCAGGCGCCTCGTTTCCAGGTGCTGCTGGACGTGGTGCAGTTCCGCCCCGAGGACATCATCATTCAGACGTTCGAAGGCTGGCTACTCATCAAGGCGCAGCACGGGCCCAGGATGGACGAGCACGGCTTCATATCCAGGAGCTTCACCAGGCAATACAAGTTGCCCCCTGGGGTGGAGAACAAGGATTTGTCTGCACTTTTCTGCCATGATGGCATTTTGGTTGTGGAAGTGAAGAGCTCGGGGGGAACAAATTAAGTTCTTGGGAATAGTTTGTTGGTGAGAGAAAAAATTATTCTTAATATAACAGAGTGATGTAACTCAGGCAGTGCTGTAGAATGAATTCAAGCATGTGGCTGTGTTTACATTACAAACTAGGAAAATCTTTGTACATATTTTTCAGCATGCTGAGTTTACTGTTTGATGTGAAAACAGACCACCTGCCTCCAGCTGCACGTGTGCTGGAAAGTGAGGCTTTTGCAATAGGAGGGAGTTTAGAGTAGTGAGAACAAACAAATCTATTTGATAGGATACTGAAAATAGAGCATTCAAGAGTTCAAGAACTTTGTTAAGCAGGAATTGTATTTAAATGAATAAGCAGTTTTAAGATATATTTAGGCATGAATCATTAATGAAACAAGAGACAGGTTATGAATCTTATGAAAATTTAATTTACATACCAAAAATGCTGTTTTGCATTGATTAATACTTCAAATTAATTTTTTCTCTGTTATACTTTGGAAAACACACAAATTGAAGGATATTATCAAGAGAAAAGTTATTTCACAGCTCAATTTGTCGACAAGATATACTTTAAGAGATTTCTTTCTAAAAGTGTGTTTGAAACTATACCATAACAGAATAATCACTGTCTGGTATTTTTTGAAAACACAGTAACTCCAAATAAGTAAGAAAGTAAGCATACTTTCTGGCAAAGACATTAATTTGAAAGAAAAATTTCAAGGCCATTTAGAAAATTGTTTTCATTTAATGTATTCTACCATCTAGCAGGAACTGGAAAAAAAATATATTGCTCATGAATAAATACTCAAAAGGACAAAAATCTTCCTTATGAAGCTTTGCCAATCAAAATGCGTTAATATAGTATCAATGCGTATTACACATTTTAGGTAGTTCGTTAGTCAAGCAGATGCACAGTTTATTCCTCATATTGCTTGACAGTGGAGGCCAAGACTCTGCAACCGTGTATTCAAGAGCAAATGCTTCTGCATAGGCCTAGCCCCATGCTCCCTGTGTCAGCAAGGGCTCGACATGGATCTAATCTTAAGTGTCGGGGTTCTGTACTGCAAACGTAGGTTTAATCTCTGTCCCAGTTGCTCTCCTTTCAAAAGATTGGTAGAATTGAAAAAGATAATCTGCCCACTATACCTAGTATCTGGTCCTTTCAACATTTTAAAAAAGAAAGAAAATTTTAAAAAACCTTCTAAATGAGTTTGTAAACACTCAAACATTTGAGAAGATCTGCAGCTGGAAATCCAACTGCCTTCTTTTATGTGAACTGGAGATAAGTATGACTGCTGTGCTATGAATAGTAAAGGAATGTGGAATGGAAAGTGCCAAGTTAAATACAGACTCTTTAGGATAGCCATCTGCTGTTTGGACAAATTTAAAATATATTCAAATGAAATTGAATACAAATATTCAAATGAAATTGAATACAAATACAATTTTAAGACTATAAAAAAAAGATGGACAAAATGTTGGCTGAAGCCGGGTTCCTTTAGCTTAAAATGAAAGCCCTAAGCTAGTACTTATGCGCATGTCTGTTCATTAGGAAGTATCATTCTTTAGGTTTGAAAGCAGTTGACTTGAAGAAACAAGGGTAGTCCAACCCTACCCTTGGATTTTATTTCTTATTTGTACTAAAATTTCCACAAATTTATAGAAGAAATGCAAAATCCAGTTCTGGATTGTAAATTTCCATAATGTACAATTATTTTGCTTTGTGAATAGAGCAGAAGTCAAGGAACTAATATTTTTTAACAAACCAAACTAAATATAAAACATATGTCCCTATATTTCTACTCAGTCCACACTTTTCCCTCTTGTTGTCTTTGTCTAATTTATGTGCTGATTTAAGAAAATAAGAGTATGGTCAAGACAGAAAATTAAATCTAGATTGTAAAAACTCCTACGTCAAGAAGCTTCCTTAGTCAGGAAACTGATGGAACATAAGATAGATTAAAAATTGGGAATTCCAGATACAGACTTGTATTTAAATTTTAAATGGCAACTTTAGAAAAAGTTGCCTATTCAGACAGGATATGGCTCAGAATCATTAATTCAGATTCATCAATTTTTGTGTGTGATTTTCATTTATGGATAATTTTGTAAATCTGATTATTTTATAATATAGGTCTATATAGAAATATTCTACTTAAGACTGCAGTGATGGCATTTAAATCTCTGGTGATGTAAAAGCACTTTTACAAACCTGTGATTTAATTATTTTAAATTAGATCATGATTAAACTACTGGAAACTTGGCAAGGAACTGAAGCAGACAGTCAGAATCATATAATGTATTCTATATATGCAGACCCCACGGTTACACACAGCTCTGCTTATATATACACAGGGCTCTCTCACAAAACCCAATGCAGGATTTGGCACTGGGCAGGTCCCTTCTCATTGCTCTGCTCCATTAGCAGTGGTAGCAGTGGAATATACTGATCTACACCCCTCCAGGATATACCCAGGCACATTTTACTTTCCCAGCCCGTAGGACCCAGGGCTCTGCAGTGGTGTGAATCAGTGGTTCTGCATGAATGAGAGCTCTCTCGTGGCCCTGGGCCAGCACGGCGGTGTTTTGGGCTTGTCATGGTGCTAGACTAGCTACCTGACACTCATGTCCTCCCTTTTAGCACTAAGCATGATGCAAGGAGGTGTCTCTGTTGTTTTTTTTAGTGGTAGTTTCTTGAATGTTTTTGGATAAATCATTTCTAAGTGTTTACCAGAATAGCCTGAAACTACTTGGCAGAACATTTCTGAATTGTTTGTGGAGAGCTATTTTCCCATATTATATCTGACATTTTACAGTTACAATCTGATCAGTACTGAATGCAAATAGCAAAGCAAGTTGTTAATATTGCTTGTGGGCAGCAGCATGACAATTTTATAAACTGCAAAGCATTGCTGAACAGCAATAGCTTGAGGCAAGTTTAAGCTTGCTGACGCGATTAAATTACGAGCGCTCATATTGGGTGTCCACAGAGCCCTGGGCCAGCCCCGGCACTGCGTGTGCCCTGAGCTTCCCAGCTCACGCCAGGGAAGGATACCCTGGTAGCTGAGCAGGCTGCTCCTCTGGACGAAGGCATGAGTCGGTACAGTATAAAAATGCTTTCATGGAAGAAGAAAATGTCCCAAGATACACACAAGTTTCCAAAAGCAAAGTCACCAACATGTGACTCCATGTGAGCCCTGTGGGCAGAAAGCCCACAAAGTCCCTGCACTTAGTTGCCTTTATATAGCATCTGCTGTATCCATGGGATTTGAGATCTCCCTGCACAATCTGATACTTGTGCAGTGAAATGGGGCGGACATGACACTCACTGTTCACTGAGTTAGCACTCTGTTACAGACAAGGATATTGGAAAAGTGGAAAAGAAACTGCTATTGTTCCCTTAAAGAGGGCAAGTCTTCTATTCCTTCCCTAATTCAGAGTCAGGAATAAAAATCCATCAAACTTTGTTTGTTTGTTTTTTTATTATTATCTGAGTAAGGCTAAAAGATTTGTTTTTTAATAGGAATTGGGATTATTTCTGAGAATATTGGTTAGACATCCTCTTGTCTGAAAGAAGCACTGACCTTTGCCTAATGCAAGGCAGCGGCTGGTCCCTATCGTCCCACAGACAGCATCTCGATGGCCCTGCACCAGGAGCACATGCTGTCTAAACACTCAAATATGGTGCATTGCATCAGAGAGAGATACCCGAGCTGGCTCTGTTTTTTTTCTGAGTTTGTTTACTGTGCTCTGGGCTACCATCAACCCTGGCCACTGCCATGGTTCTGCTAACGAAGCAGGTCTTTCCCAAGCCAGCAAGCTAATACAGAGGATGCAGCAGGCGGCTCTCTGCAGGGAGAGGTGACAGAAAATATAGGACCGGGTGGGCCTGGGCACACAGTGAGCAAGAAGGCCACCGAAGGTGCCTCAAGCAAGAACAGCAATCAGGGAAATACGAACTAAACTAAAATACATATTTCAGAATATGTATTTTCAGATTTTAAAGCATAATATTTAAGCATGTGCAGTGAAAACACCCGTGGAGGATCTGGTGAGGAGTCAGTGACTGGCACAGCACATGACAGCAGCCCCAGGGTGACAAAATCACCACTGACCAAATTGCCACCAGGACCAGGCCAGACTATTCCATTTTGTCAGCAATGTCTGGCTGCTTCCTGGGCAGTAGTTACTTCAGGTTGACACAGCTGAATAAGGAAATACTGCTAGTAGACAAAAGGGACTCCTTTGGATGCAGTGAGTACAATCTCTGCCTTGATGCATTTACAGCCCAAGGGCTCAGTCCTGGAATGAAAGTGGTGTGGACTCAATGCAGATTGAGGCAAATATCTACAGAGAGATGAGTGTTGAGATTCATTCTATCATGCTATCTATATCAATATTTATCTTGGACTTTTTAACAAAACAGTCAGCCCAAAGTTAAAAGGTGTACTTATTTTTCTTATTCTTCAGTTTATTGTGGTACTGAAGTATCAAAATCAAAAACAAGGTGTAACAGAAGAACAATATTTTGCAGGAAGTTCACTAGCTGGCAGCACGCTCCTGTATAAACATAGAATATGTTTCCATATTATACTTTATTCATAAACCTGCACTGATTTTGAAAAGTTACTAAGATTTCATTAATCTCTCAATAAAACACATTAGGACAAAATAATCCATCACAAAGGGACAAAGTAAGACTAATTCTGTCAAAAAAGTAGCACAAAAAGTGGGGACAAGTGATCAAACCTGTGCACCCTGTTCGAGTTCCTTTCCATGCCTGAAAGCTCACCTTGGAGAGGCTCCATGAGTGGACCTCAGGAGACAAACTCAAACGTTATGTCAAGCTTATTTTGCCATGAATTAACTCAACCCCCGCATGACACAGGGCTCACATCACAGTGCTACTCTAAGGTGATTTTTCTATGATCACAGATAAATGCCAGGTGTGGGGTTAAAAAGCCTGAGAGAGATGAAAAATCAGGCCCAAGCAAACCCCATTCTTCTTTTCACTAAACTCCACACCCACACAGCTGCCATGAAAGTGATTACGGTTTACATTGGTTAAAATTAAAAGAAAAATAGATTATCTAGATGTAGGCTGTGATCTCAACGGACTTAATGCCGCATTCAGACTACTCACTCACACACCATTCTCCCTTCAGCAGACCAATATCCC